CTCAGCTGATCCTGGGCTCCGTGCGGTGCTGCCACTTTGAAACGCTAAGGAACCCGGCGCCAGGCTCCTCCTGGCATTTCAAAATACCAGCGCTGCATGGTGCTTTCACCTTTGAAGTGTAGCAACAGCGTTAGGTGGAGGTGCCCTACCGACTAATCAAATAATCGATGCAAAATGGATTGACTGTTCATGATACTTAACATCCTTACTCCGGACTCCTCCAGCAGTGACAGAGATAGGGTCACAGCCCTCTGCAGTATTATACAGATTCTGAGATGAGCTCTGCTCTGGGAAGACTCAGCTAATGGGACTTGCCTCAGCACCCATCTGTACAGCCCCAGTGGGACCTGAATCCCAGATAAATCCATCTTCTTCTTAAACTCTTGTATTCCGAGTGGAGCACAGGTCATCTACAAGTCTCCTGCATTTCACTCTGTCTCAAGATAAAACTTCTAGCTGACTCCAGGAGTACCGCAGTTGTTGTCCTTCAGTCTTAGTAGATCTTCTCTATGTTGTCCGAGGTCTTCCTCTTTTGCGTTTTCCTTGCAGATTTCATGTGAGAGTTTGATGGACTATGTTGGATGATGGTTTTCTGAGAGTGTGGCCCAGCCATCCCCACTTTCTTCTCTTGTTTGAACATCAATTGGTTCTTGTCCTACTCTGTTCCAAAGCTCCGCATTTGTGACAAAGTCTTGCCATATGACGTGAAGGATGTACCTCTGGCATCTGTTCATGAATGTCTGTAGCTTGTGATTTGAAGACTTTTTAGTATGCCAGGTCTCGTATCCATACAAGAACACACACTTCACATTTGTGTTGAAGATTGCAGTTTCATCTTTGCAGATGTTAGCTCCATATGGGACGAAGAGTCTTAACTACAGCTGCTGCTTTCCCTATCTTAACATTGATATCCTTGTCTGTTCCTCTGCTCATAATATGCCCTGGCTGTGTCTACATTGGCATCCCTTTCCGGAAAAGGGATGCTAATGAGACACTTGAAAAAAGCGGCAGCCATGTAAATGCAAACGCCGCGGGGGATATTTAAATCCCCCGTGGATTTGCAATTCCGAAGTGTCTCATTAGCATCCCTTTTCCGGAAAGGGATGCCAATGTAGACACAGCCCCCAAGTAGGTGAACTGCTGCACATCTTCCAGGTCATTCTCCCAGTGTTGTTGGACTGGCTGATCCTCATTATCTTGGTCTTTCCCTTGTTAATGCTAGGTCCAATCATTAAGGCAGTTTTATCTAGTGTTGTGACCTTTTCTTCCATGCTTTCATGTTGGTGTGAAAGGAGGGCGACATCGTCAGCAAAATCAATGTCCTCTAGCTGTTTGAAAGGTGTCCACTGAATGCCCCATTGATGGCCATCTTTTGTCCTGCTCATAATCCAGTCCATTGTGATCAAGAACAGGAAAGGTGACAACAGGCTCCCTTACCAGACTCTTGAGGGTATGCTGACGGATTCTGTCAAGACACCATTGTGAACAACTTGGCATGTCGAGGGTTCATACGTTGAATGGATCAGGTTAATAATTTATAAAATTAATTAATTAAATCCATCTTACTCTGTATAATTTTTTATACAGAATAAACTCATGAGTCATTTTGTGCACCCAATTTCTCAAAGTAAAAAGAGAGATGCACCTGCTACTTGCCGCCTATTCTCCCTGGGTAACATTTATACTAGATTGATTAATGAACAGAAGTAATTTTATTAAATATATATATTTATTACATATAAAAGCTAGGATCTAAGTAGTCATAAGAGGTAGCAAACTGAACAAAATAGGTTACTAAACAAAACAGAACATGCAAACTAAACTTAATACACTAAAGAGACTGGTTTGGGAGCAGAGGAGTGACCCATACTGTGAGCTTCCCTCTCATGAAAGGGAACAGTAAGCAGCCTCCTACTATGAATTGTGGGGAGGGGATTTGAGCCCCCTTATGCTTCATAAATAGCAACCTTGCCCCCCTGCTCTCTCTGCATCCACAGATATCCTAGCCCTCTCCCCTGAGCCCCCACATGCCCATGCTCCTGCCCTGACTCCTGCACCCCCCACATCCCCACCTGCTGCCCGGAGCCCACCTACACCCATCACACCCCGTGCCATGAGCCCCGTGCACTCCACCCTACACTTACATTTCTTATATGTACTGTCATATCACAACCCCCTCAACTTCCTGCCCTGAGTCCCCCCAACCAGAGGTGGGGGTCACAATACAAAATTTAATTTACTCTCACCTCTGGTTCAGTCTTAACTTTCTCTTTTCTCTTGTGGAAAAAATACAAGATCCAAGATGGATCCCAGTGTTATATGGCAGGATCACATGTCTTGATAGGAGCTATTATAGCCCCTTCTCTCAGGCTTACAGGAAAAATAAAACTATTCACAGAACATTGTGCTGAGTATTGGGCCATTAAGTTATTTGAGTACAGGCAGTCCCCGACTTACGCGGATCCGACTTATGTCGGATCCGCACTTACGAACGGGGCTTTTCTCGCCCCGGAGCTCGCGGGCGGGGATCACATGTCTTGATAGGAGCTATTATAGCCCCTTCTCTCAGGCTTACAGGAAAAATAAAACTATTCACAGAACATTGTGCTGAGTATTGGGCCATTAAGTTATTTGAGTACAGGCAGTCCCCGACTTACGCGGATCCGACTTATGTCGGATCCGCACTTACGAACGGGGCTTTTCTCGCCCCGGAGCTCGCGGGCGGTGGGACCGCCCAGAGCACAGCGGTCCCACCACCACGTC